CCATATTGTATAATTTTTTTTTAGTGTGCTTTATTAATTCCAACTTTTTTCAAGTACAGAACACACTAGTAATTTTCCAATCCAAGACCAAGAATAATGCAAGCAAACTGGTAGTACTTACTGATCTCTTGTTTCTCCTACACAACAAGCAAATCAAGTAATGTATAATAATCACTTTATATCATGGTTTTGACATCATATTCCATTGTTACAAAACTCATTGATTAGGTTGTCTAGATTCTTCCAAGAAGAACCAACACCTTCCTCCAAAGCCTTCTTCGCCATCTTACCATACACTTCAACATTCCTCCTCAGCTCTTTCCCTTTCTCTCCTTCCATCAACTCCTTCACTTTCTTTGCAACCTCTCCTCTTCTCACAACTCCATCACTCTCCGCCACCGCTCTCACCGCCACTCTCAGCTCTTCCACCACCAATATCGCATTCAAAGGTTGCTCCGCTGATACTGGAAACGCCAAGATTGGAACCTCAGAGCAAATGCTCTCCATCAGAGAGTTCCATCCACAGTGACTTAAGAACCCTCTAACACTCTCGTGCTCTAGTATCTTCCTCTGATCAACCCATTCATCTTTCACCACCATTCCTCTCTCTCCCACTCTCTCTTCAAACCCTTTTCCTATTTTGTTTCCTTTCACCACCCACAGAAAGTTCACCTTTGATTCTTCCAACCCTAACGCAATCTCCTCTACTTGTTCTCTAGAGATCTCGGCTTGTGACCCAAAAGCTACGTAGAGAACATTGCATCCCTTGTCTCGCTTTTCATCAAGCCATTTCATCCAAACAGGTTTGACCTTCTCTTCTCCCTCATCCTCCAAGCTGAGAGAAACAACAAGGTACCATAATAATCATGTTTTCTTCATTTTAATTAGTACTATATACTTATGAGGAAATCTCATAAATAACACTATTTAATTTTTGTTGCAAAGTAACACTAAAAGAAAAAAAATATATGCAAAAATACATTTACAAATCAATAAGAAAAACAAAATTATTCTACATCTTAAATCATAGCCTCATTCCTAAATACTAAATTCTAAACTCGAATCACTCAATTTCAAAAACACAAAAAAAAAACTCTAATCACTCAAATCTTAAACCAAAGAAAAAAATATCTTTACTAAATGATTTTTCGAAACAAAATATTCTTATATATGCTATTTTAGAACAAAAACTTGAATTTGTGCATTTGAAGGATACTTATTTAGACCTATTTACACAAACAAGATCATAAACAGATTAGCTTACGAGTTTTTGCCAAGACAAAGCGGTCCAAGTGCCCACGGCTTGAGCTCGCGATTACGCTTATAAAAATCTAAAAACACCGGCTCAAGATCATCGAACGTGTTGAATATGATACCTTGACTCTGACTCATAGACTCGACTTGATCTAGGATAAGCTTGAATCCAGGATCTGTGGTGGGTTTTGCATCAGACATATCTTCAACAAAATCACATTTTCTAACCTTAATCCACGGGAACTCCGGTACAGACACCGCCTCTGTCTCCCACTTAACTTTAGATAGAAGCTTGTTTTTAAAAACGCTGTCCAATATAGAGGGAGAAGCGCAGTTCATACCCAAGAACACAAGCCGAGGAAACCCTAGCTTTTGAGCTGACTCTAACGTCCACCACAAGAAACCGTCAGAGACCATGAAACTGACGCGTGGCAGTGACGTGAGCTCTCGTTCGAAGTAGGGTTGCATTGACTTGGTGGCTCTCGTGAAAGGGACGTAGAGGGAGGAGATAGCTGGAAGTTTTTCGGTGCATTCGACGCCGGGAGGGATCTCCGGGACGTTCTTGGGGAAAGGGAGGGTTAGGATTGTGGCTTTGGTGCCGGAGAGTGAGTCAGCGACGAAAGGACGGTTTAAAGGAGTGGTGAAGACGGTGACGGAGATGTCTTTGGTGGAGGAGTGGGAGAGGAGGAGACGGGCTAGTTGGAGCATAGGTATCATGTGTCCTTTGGACATGTATGGGAACAGAACCACGTGAACTTTTTCTAACTCCATTGAGATTTAAGCTATGCAAAGGCCTCTCTCTGTTTCTTATATTGAATCTCTAATGTATAAACAAAGACTTCAAAGTCTATTGAGATCTCAGATCTGTGGACAGGCTTCCCAACTGTTTCTCATATTTGTCTCTATGTATAATAAATAAAAGACTTAAATGTCGTTGGAGACTTGTCACTTGTGCCTAGTGGCTAGGGCCTAGGATGCTCTCTCCGTGGCCAAAAATTTAAGAAACATTTCAATTAGCAATTTGTGAATTTTAACTAATTACTGTACTAACAAAATTAGCAGTTTGACAAACGTTTTGATGTCTTTGACACCTTACTTGCTATACACGACTCATTGTGCTTTCTGAATCAGTTCTGGTTCATCAACTCTTTGCACTTGTCATGCAAAACCCTGATGACTATATTCACTAACGGTTTAAAACTTTTGAATTACTTCGTCTCTGAAAAAATGAATAAGAGATGATATTTTGATGTTATTCATAAGAATCTGAGTGTTAAAGGTACCTCAAAGAATTAAGATTGATAGAGTGAAAATGTGTAATACACTAGATGATGACTCAAACTGTTGAGGAAACTGATTCTAGAGAATGGCACAGAACCTGGTGTCAGTATTATTATTTTGCAGGAAGCAAAGAGAAAAGTGGTTTTCACTAGACTTGGTGACGAAGTGGTTGTTGTTATTAGTAGTCTCTGCCAGTGACAGTGTTATGCTGCAGAAACTGCGCCGAGTCCAGTAGCCAAAGAAAATAACTGGAAATCTGGTTAGTGCAGAGTTCTAATTGATCACCAATGCAGCAGCTCAGCTAAATAATGTTCAAGGAGAAGGCAGGTGGAAGTTGCAGTTAAAAAGTAAATACATAAAAATTGGGGGCATTCCGAGAATTGAACTCGGGACCTCTCGCACCCTAAGCGAGAATCATACCACTAGACCAAATGCCCACTGATGTTTACTAGAACACTTAGTTAATTATTTTTCAATAGTTTGACCAAGATAGCTCTTTAATTCAATCTTTATTTTGTGCATATTCATCGGTTCCGTTAGAACATTAATGTAAGCCAGTGATAGCTTTAACAGTTGTAAACAGTATCAAATGTCTATAAGTATAGGTATGATCTTGTAAACTAGTGATAGCTTTTCCCAGCAAAAACAATATATATATACCAATAATAAACACACCTATCAGACATAAGTAATACATCAATGTGTGATGAGTAGATTATGAAATTTTACTATTAGCATTATAAACCAAGATGCGTTTTTTCTTGTAGAATATATTGTTTGCTATGGTCTTACATGAATAATTAGTATACCGGTTGCAGTGGTTGGTCACCCAAATAACGAGAATATTCAAGATCACGAGTTTGAATAATCTCCTCGGAGTAAATTTTGTATTAAGGTACAATTTTGTTTATAAAATTGAAATGTATACAACATTTTAATTAGCAAACTAGCTAAGCCATTAAAAAGAAAACTAGCTTAGCCATCGGACAATGGTAAAATCTACTTGCCAAGAGTAAAGCATAGAATCGTGGAAAGGCACATCACACATGTTGCAGCGATCGGGACACTACAGTAGCGGAAGATGACAGAAAGAAAAGAGGCTCATTCCCCACATGAAGGGACACAACGAAACGCAATGAATAATTTGTTAATTTAATTTTATTGCAAACTTTTAGATTCGCCAAGTGTGAGGAGTATCCTTTGGGGTTGATTTTGCTGTCGACAATAATTCATGATTTTGTTGGTATATATATACATTGCATCTTCAATGTGGTTGTGTCGTTAACAGCACATGGGGGTTATACTAATATGATCCTTTATTTCAAAATTGAAGTTCATTTTCTAACGAATTATTTTTTGTGTACTGCATCCATGTGAAGAACATACTCGGATCCAAATGGCGTTGTAAAAACACATTCTACACCGAAAATGAGTGCCAGAGGCAACGGATCTATAAAGACTACTATTTATGGAAAACTATTCCCTGAATGAATGGAACAAGAGTTGCCCATTCCCAGTTTTGTATAGTATTTTCTATTTTTCTTGCTTACTCTCTACACATGCATAATATTAATGATGCATCCACTTCTTTTTGTATACACATAGTTTGTTCCTGAGTTACATTGTGTATAAAAAAAAGGTCTTTAAAGAATCTGCTTAAGGTAGTAAACTAATAGTATTTGTCTGAGGAAACTAGTTACAAATGCTTTCAAGACTCGACTATATTCATGTCTCGGATTCAAACGTTATTAAATAGTTGTTTTGTATTTGGAAGAAAAAAAAGCATTAGCTCTTTGATTATTGAATTTTCAGATCTGGCGAAGTTACTGATATTAGGATACGACGTTTTACAAAACTTTAAGTTTTGTCAAATATAGCGGTTTAGTCTTTTAATTAAATTAGTTAATAGACTTATGAACAAAACTGAAAGTCTGCTCTGACCATTGATTTTGACAACATTCATTGTGATAGCGAAACTCAAAACTTGGTCATGTTGAAACTCATCTATCTACAACAAATATCTGCATGTGTAGAAAGTACGTGCATGCATTAGATAGGACTTGTCAGGTTCAGCAAGATACGTATAAGCTCTGTAATATCTAGGTGTTTGCCTCTTCAAACACATGTCCGAGTTTGTTCACCACATTAAAAGGTGACGTTCGATTGCTGTTTCTACTATTAATTGAATGGTTATATTGTCTTTTCATAAACTGAAATTGATATTCACAAATTACAAGAACATGTAGCATAAAGTTCATTATCTTCTTCCATTTTCCATTTTCAGCATAATATAATCAAAATAAGGAAATTCGGAAAAGTTTTGAAAAACAAAAGGAGATTAAAGGACATCTATAAATTGACGGCGTCAAGTCAACGTCCAATTAAAAATACCGTCAAAGGTAAAAAAAAAAGTTAACGGAGATAGTAAATATTACACGGATCCCAGAAAAGTAAAAACACTTTCACTAATCTAATCCGGGACTCCTCATCTTCTGCCGTCGACCCATCGACTCCTCCGGCGTCGGCGAAGACCCCGGCGACGTGGTCAACACATCATCATCTTCTTGAGATGAGAGTGGCGAGGAAAAGACCTCCACGGGAGATAACGGCGGAGAAGAATCCGAAGAATCAGTGGAAAGAGTCAACGCTGGCGGCGGAGGAAGCAAAGCGTGGACGGTAACAGAATCTTCTGGAAGCTTCCGTTTGTTTCCGTTAGAAAGCTTAACATCTCCGGTTAAGTGATTTCTCAGGCGTTTAACGTCGGCGAGTTTCACCGGTTTCAGTAAAAAATCCTCCGCACCTTCCTCAAGACACATGTCGATTCTAGTCAACACATTCTCAGACGACATTATTACAACTGGAACTTGTCGGAAACTGGACGATTCCTGTTTCATATTAACCAAAAAAAAAATCACATTGTTCAGACAAAGATTCAAATAAATTTCTTTCAAAAAAATTAAAATTCAATTAAATCGTTATCAGAATGAAAAAAAAAACGGCGGAAATGTTTAGACCTTGATCTTCTTGAGAAGCTCGTAACCGGTCATTCCAGGCATACAGTAATCAGTGATGATCATATCAACTTTCAATCTCTGAAAATATAACAAAATCAGTATTAAAAAAAAAAAGAAAAAAATCAGTATAAAAAAACAAAAATATCTATCAGAGTAATCCTAAAAACGACTTACATCTAATTCAGCAGAGGCTTTTTCGTTGTCTAGCCCTAGAAACTCTAGAGCACGCCATCCACTATCTACAGCCGTGACTGAAACAGAAACACCTTAGAATAAATTATTTTTTTTTCTTTTTTTTGTGTGTGAATGCATTAAAAATAAATAGGAAGACGAACCTTTGCATGAGGTGATACGAAGCAATCTCTCAATGACAATACGATCAACGAGGCTGTCATCGACGGCTAGGACATGAACTTCATCTAAATCTAACGGTGGAGATTCCATTCCTCCGAGACCGACGTTCAGCATCTCTGAGCTTCGTAGACAAGAAACGCCACCGTCTCTGGCCATTGATGAGTAGAAACTGAGAGGGAGAGGATATGAACAGAACAGGAGAGAATAAAAACAGAGCTCACATCTGTTTTCGTTTCTTCTTCTCCTCCTTTAAGACTGTTTTATATTTCTGTTTTATTTTTGTTCTGTAACACTAATCAATCAATCTTTTAGTGTGTCTTTTTGTATTTATTTTTATTTTCTCCAGCAAGGAAAATCTAACAAAATCTTTTGGTTCATATTTATATATAAATATTTTTTTTTATTTTGTTCCGTGCTTTTAGGGTTGAAAAAAAGGAACTTTTATTTTGAAAAAAATAGATTAATAAATGGGATTGAGATTTTTGTTGACCCCCAAAAAAAAAATAATAGTTGAGATTTTTTAATATCGGATGGAAGCCTATGCCAATAATATAGAGAAAAATACCATAGAGGAGAAGTCCCTTCCGTACATAGGAATCCAAAATACCATAGATTAGGGCTGAGACTTATATCCGGGATAGCGTCCGCTATCCGATCCGGGATCCGCTATCCGATCCGGGATCCGCTATCCGATCCGGGATCCGATCCGATCCGTTCCGAAAAACGGATATCCGGGGGTCCGGATCCAGATCCAGATAGTGATTTCACGGATCCGGCGAATCTGGATCCGAATCCGGCGAATCCGGATCCGAATCCGGATAGTAAAAAATTTCAGTCTGGATCCGGATCCGGGCCCACTAAATATTTAAAAATTATTTAAAATATAATTATATTTATAAAGTTATATTATATATTTTCTATTAAATATAACTAATATTTAATTTTGTTAATAAATTCTATTATTTTAATTTAATTTTTTTGAAATACTAATTTTTAATAAAATAAATAAATACTGAATTTTGAATTTTTTTTTTTTAAATAAACCAGATCCGGAAATCCGCGGGTATGCGAGTTTTAATCCGGATATCCGGATGGCCCGAATCGGATCCGAATAGTAATTTTACGGATCCGCCGAATCCGGATATCCTGAAATACCCCGGATATCCGATCCGTCCTATCCCTACCATAGATCAAAGAGCTGAACATGAGAACCTGGTTTACTCACCATTACAATTAACAGTAGCACTTAAAGTAAACCGGTTCATTCAGTATCTATAATCCGACTCGGTTAGGATTGGTCTTACCAAAAAAAAAATTATTAGTGTTTGTTCTCCACGTTTCAATGTAATTTAAACATATCTGATTGACAAAAACAAAATTTAAACATATCTAAAATTTACCCAATCTAATCTCTATTGCTGCAAGTTTGCAAGTTCCTCCCACCACTTTTATGCTGTACACATATATTTTTAAATGTAGATAACAACTCGAAATATTATTTGTTCATTTAGATTGGTCAGTTACTACTTTATTATCACGAATCAAGATAGTATATAATCCACAGAATAAATAGTTGACAAACAAAAAGAGGATAAATAATTTGGAATTAATATTCGCCTAAGTATATCCATCTGATTTTATAAAATTTATATTATCCCAAACGCTTACTTTACAAAAAAAAAAAATGAACTAATATAAAAAGCCAACCAACGAAAAATGATTTATTTTTCTTCCTGTAAAAACAAGAGGAAGGTGGACAAATAATAATGCATTGACGTCCACATTAAAATTAGGATCCGCGGGGCCCAGGAAATCTAAAGGAGGGCCCATTAATATTTGTTCGAACATTTCTTTATTCAGGCATTGGACTTTTCCTCTTTTTTCTCTAAACATAATTTGCTGTTTCACTCTAAACTCTAAAGTTTAGACACCACAGCGTATCAAATCTTGGAGATTGCTTTTACTTTGTCTTTCCCCACTCTAAATAAGTAAAAATGTTTATAAATGCACTGCATTTCCTTCTCGTTATAAATAAAATAAATAGTTTTAATTGTTTTTTCGCCAACTAAAATTATTAAAATGTTTAGTCCAAAGAGATTTCTCTTGTTAATAAAGAAAAATATCATACAGAATATTTATGAGTCTACATTAGTTAATATCCATGAATTGGATATGCCCCTTTTAAAAAACATCGAAATTGAAGATTGATTTGTGAAATGATTTTTCAAACGATATGGGCCAATGAATGATGGATCAAATCTTCATGATGTCAACTAGAAATCCAGGGTTGAACACATAATTTTTTAAAACAAATAAAATTCATAATAGTAGTGATAGACGTGTCGCACATAAAATCAAAGTTTATGTACCTTTCCTTGGAACTTTGGTACTTAAATACGTTTTGGAGCATCTTTTAATTCTAACTATTACTGTATGTATTTTTCAGTCTTCTATAACACCATGTTAAGATAAACTAGTTTATTATTTCTAACAATAAAAGTAACAAATAGTTGACATAACTATACATATCCAGTGTCATATTCAAATTCCAAAACAATAAAGATGCTAAATGCACTTGACCTAATTATACGATATACATTAAATTCCACAATAATATAAAATTAAATTTGGTATGCATTCTCACTTAGCAAAACTCATATGAATTGTATTGTCATCGTGTAAATGCAAAATGCAGAAATTGTGTTTAATACAACCAAGCCTCAGTAGACCTACGAATTAGAGTACCCGATTTTCATATAACAATGTCATTGTCTTGTGGTTTTAAGACTTAGCACTCTGCTAATACCAACTCATCAATCATCATCCATTCATACCGGTCTCAATCATAAAGCATGGAGCATATAATCCCATATATATTCCCAAATTATCAAGAAAGTAATAAGGAGAGCACGAGAAAAAAAGAGATCAGAAACCATCATGTCATAGCTAAAAGTTACCTGAAAAAGTTCATCATGGGCCTTAAACCTTTCGGGTCTATCCCCAATTGTTGTATTAGCCCACGGAAGGTAGACATTCTTCAGACACATCAAAAATTAAACAAACTTAAGAAATCCAAAATGGTCTGGAAAGGTTCGCAGGTCGGAGTAATATAGCCTTATATAAGCCTGACGCTGAAGTTTTCAATAAGGCCCAATACTAACTCCAAGAAATTAAGTTTTGTATACCTAAGAAACCATACATTAAGCATGTTCAATGCAGAGTTCTTAGGTTGGAGTTATTAACGGAATGTAAGAACCCGTTTCTTAACTTTTAACTAAAAAAACTAAGAACCGACTCTTAAATATCTTATTTAAGAATCGATTCTTAATATTTTTAATTAAAAGTTCGGATACGAGTTCTTATATTCCGATAAGAATCCCAACCTAAAAACTATGCATTGAACATGCTGTAGTTTAGACCTCTCAATACCACATATTGATTCCAGTATTATGGCGAACTAAATAAAAATATAGCAGAGTATCTATATGGTTAGCTTAGAGAACTGCATCGTGCATGATCTAGGAAGTTCCAAAGAAGGTTGGCGTGACACGCCTAAATCCACATAATATTATCCGTTATCAGCGTTGTCACGTTACTTGTGTATATTAAAATTAAAGTTTGGACTTGGTATAGTTGATTGCTCAAAAAAAGTTAAGTATAGTTGTTAACTTGTTATGCTGACAAGTAGTAACAAAGCTGTAAAAACAAGTATTACCCTTTTATTTGAATTGAGTGAATATTAATATCTTGAAGTTAAGAAATGATGAGTTCTTCATTTAGATCTGTATGTTATCATTGTCTGTTTCTCATCTATTGATCCTTTAGCTATAATATATAGTTTTAAACACTGGTCTTGGCATTCTTGGTGGTCTTCTTTTCCTTTCCCATAAAATATACTAAATAAGATATAAGGTTCAAGTGCGCGTTGGAGTCGTCTAGAAGAGAAGCAAAGATTTGATTAATGGCAGAGGCAAACTGCAGGGACCACATTTAGATACTCTAATTATATATCTTATTCGACCTAATTAAAATGTTTAAACTAATTAAACTTAACTATATCAAACTTTCTTTAATATATGCATGTGTTAGTTTTCGTTTTTTGTTGGTTTTAACTTTATTTGAACCTAAATAAGTAGAATGAAAAAAATTTATATGATCTGAATTTTGATATAAGAAACGGTGTATGAAAAGGCTAGTATATCACATATATATAATCAAATAGAATGTCCTCTTGCCAGTAAGTTTTAGTATCATTTAATAGAAACACTTGGAGCAAGTTAGATTGTTTTTCTTATAGAACTTATGTTTTTTCTTGAAACACTTGGAGCAAGTTAGATTGTTTTTCTTATAGAACTCACGAATACATGCTAAACTTGAAACGTTACATATGTTGTATTTATACACATTGTCAACAATACATTATTATCGAGATGAATGGCCGAATGGGAAATGTCTCAACTTCAGCTAGTTAGAATGAGTTATAGCTAGAACTCTATATGTTATTGACACAAATTTCGTGATACTTGACACGCAACTCTTATAAGTTACAACTTTCCTTATCAATAGACAAAGAATGCAGTTTGGTTTTCTTGGTGAACAATAGAGTTTATGCTTACACTAACATGGTAGAATGTGAAAAACATGGTGGAATGTGAGTTTTACCGGCGCAACGTAAACTAAGAGCATCTGCAACGGTGGTTCTTAAAAAGAAATTCTTAAAAGAAAAATAATTAAATATTTAGTAGATTCCACAAAAAGTTAAGAATTCATCTTTAAAAGTTTTTAAATAATAATTTTTTTTAGTAAATCTTTACATTATTTATAGACCCCACAACACCTGTTAACTTGTGATTAGTTTTTATTTTCTTTTTTATCTAAAAATAATAATAATTAAAAAATTAAAAACTCTAATGGGTATCACCATTGGAGGTGATTTAACAACCTTTTCAGTAATGGGGGTTGTACTGATGTTACGTTGCTCAATGTCAATACAAATAAATATAACAAATTAAGAATGTGGAAATAGTTTGTAGTTATATGAGATATAAATATAAAGATATACACAATATTATAGAAACTAACCAACCCACCCACCTAGTAGCCACCGCAAATAAGCTTTAGAAAAAAGGAAAAAAAAAAAAAACATAACGGGCTAAAATTATTCCACATCTTGGATAAATATAAGATTAT